TATCCGTGCCAAGTTTGGTCCAGATCCATCATTGTTTGACTCCACAGTGCTCTCGGGATGTAGGCAAACTACAACTCCCAAACTCAAGGTCAATGTTCACAAGACACTTCCAATATTTTTTGTTGGTCTTGGGAGTTCTGTGTCCCAAGTTTGGTTCAATTCCATCATTGGTGGAGTTCAGAATGCTCTTTGATTGTAAGTGAACTATAAATCCCAGCAACTACAACTCCCAAATGTCAAGGTCTATTTCCCCCAAACTCCACCAGTGTTCACATTTGGGCATATTGATATTTGTGCCAAGTTTGGTCCAGATCCATCATTGTTTGAGTCCACAGTGCTCTCTGGATGTAGGTGAAGTACAACTTGAAAACTCAAGGTCAATGACCACCAAATCCTTCCAGTATTTTCTGTTGGTCATGGGAGTTCTGTGTGTCAAGTTTAGTTCAGTCGTTGAGGGAGTTCAGAATGCTATTTGGTTGTAGGTGAACTATAAATCCCAGCAACTACAACTCCAAATGTCAAGCTCTATTTTCCCCCAAACTCCACCAGTGTTCACATTTGGGCATATTGAGTATTCGTGCCAAGTTTGGTCCAGACACATCATTATTTGAGTCCACAGTGCTCCGTCCCCTGCCACGAGTTGCTGTGGCCCACATGGGGGTTCTGTGTGGGAGGTTTGGCCCAATTCTATCATTGGTGGGGTTCAGAATGCTCTTTGATTGTAGGTGAACTATAAATCCCAGCAACTACAACTCCCAAATGTCAAGATTCTATTTTCCCCAAACTCCACCAGTGTTCACATTTGGGCATATTGAGTATCCGTGTCAAGTTTGGTCCAGATCCATCATTGTTTGAGTCCACAGTGCTCTCTGGATGTAGGTGAACTACAACTCCCAAACTCAAGGTCAATGCACACCAAACCCAGTATTTTTCTGTTGATCAGGGGAGTTCTGTGTGCCAAGTTTGGTTCAATTCCATTGTTGGTGGAGTTCATAACGCTCTTTGATTGTAGGTGAACTATAAATCCCAGCAACTACAACTTCCAAATGTCAAGGTCTATTTCCCCCAAACTCCACCAGTGTTCTATTTGGGCATATTGAGTATTTGTGCCAAGTTTGGTCCAGATCCATCATTGTTTGAGTCCACAGTGTTCTCTGGATATAGGTGAACTACAACTCCCAAATGTCAAGGCCTATTTCCCCCAAACTCCACCAGTGTTCACATTTGACATATTGAGTATATATGCCAAGTTTGTTCCAGATCCATCATTGTTTGAGTCCACAGTGTTCTCTGGAGGTAGGTGAACTACAACTCCCAAACACAAGGTCAATGTTCACAAGACACTTCCAGTATTTTTTGCTGGTCATGGGAGTTCTGTGTCCCAAGTTTGGTTCAATTCCATCACTGGTGAGGTTCAGAATGCTCTTTGATTGTAGGTGAACTATAAATCTCAGCAACTACAACTCCCAAATGTCAAGGTCTATTTCTCCCAAACTCCACCAGTGTTCATATTTGGGCATATGGAATATTTGTTCCAAGTTTGGTCCAGATCCATCATTGTTTGACTCCACAGTGCTCTCTGGATGTAGGCGAACTACAACTCCAAAACTCAAGGTCAATGTCCACAATACACTTCCAGTATTTTCTGTTGGTCATGGGATTTCTGTGTGCCAGGTTTGGTTCAATTTTTAATTGGTGGCGTTCAGAATGCTCTTTGATTGCAAGTGGACTATAAATCCCAGCAACTCTCAAATGTCAAGGTCTATATTCCCAAAACTCCACCAATGTTCATTTTTGGGCAGATTGGGTATTTGTGTCAAATTTTGTCCAGTGAATGAAAATATATCCTGTTGGCATTATGATTTGTAACAGTATAAAAATTACAGTTACGAAGTAGCAATGAAAACAATTGGGTTGCTGTAAGTTTTCTGGTCTGCCTGGCCATGTTCCAGAAGCATTCCCTCCTGACATTTCGTCTGCATCCATGACAGGCATCCTCAGACATTGTGAGGTCTGCTGAGAGTTTTCCGGCCATGTTCCAGGAGCATTCTCTCCTGACGTTTTGCCTGCATCCATGGCAGGCATCCTCAGACATTGTGAGGTCTGCTGTGAGCAACATTCACCCTTGCCTCCAGCAGACAAGAGTTCTTTCTCCCACCCTGGACATCATTCCACAGATAGATATAATTCCCCCAGGCAGGAAGCAGCCAGGCTTTGAAGCTTCGAGGCCATTGAGTGCTAATCAAGCTGGCCAATTGCAACATTCACACTTGCCTCCAACAGACAGGAGTTCTTTCTCCCACCCTGGACATCATTCCACAGATATAGATATATATATATTTCCCCCAGGCAGGAAGCAGCCAGGCTTTGAAGCCGCAAAACCATTCAGTTCTAATCAAGCTGGCCAATGACAACATGCAGACTTGCCTCCAGCAGACAAGAGTTCTTTCTCTCACCCTGGACATCATTCCACAGGTATATATATATATATATATATAGGATTCCCTCAGGCAGGAAGCAGCCCGGCTTTGCAGCTGCGAGGCCATTCAATGCTAATCAAGCTGGCCAATGGCAACATTCAGACTTGCCTCCAGCAGACAAGAGTTCTTTCTCCCCCCTGGATATCATTCCACAGATAGATAGATATGATTCCCCCAGGCAGCAACTAGCCAGGCTTTGAAGCTGCAAGGCCATTCAGTGCTCATCAAGCTGGCCAATGGCAACATTCACACTTTGCCTCCAACAGAGAAGAGTTCTTCCTCCCACCCTGGACATCATTCCACATATAGATAGATAAATAGATAGATAGATAGATAGATAGATAGATAGATATGATTCCCCCAGGCAGCAACTAGCCAGGCTTTGAAGCTGCAAGGCCCTTAAATGCTCATCAAGCTGGTCAATTGCAACATTCACCCTTGCCTCCAACAGACAAGAGTTCTTTCTCCCACCCTGGACGTCATTCCACAGATATATATATAGTAATCCCTCAGGCAGGAAGCAGCCAGGCTTTGAAGCTGCAATGCCCTTAAATGCTCATCAAGGTGGTGAATTGCAATATTCAGCCTTGCCTCCAATAGGCAAGAGTCCTTTCTCCCACCCTGGACGTCATTCCACAGATGTATATATATATAGGGGGGGGGGGGGAGAGGATTCCCTCAGGAAGGAAGCAACCAGGCTTTGAAGCTGCAAGGCCCTTAAATGCTCATCAAGGTGGTCAATTGCAACATTCAACCTTGCCTCCAATAGGCAAGAGTTCTTTCTCCCACCCTGGACGTCATTCCACAGGTATATAAACCCAATTTTCCTAGTTTCCAACAGACCTCACAAGCCCTATGAGGAGCGGCTTAAGGAGCTGGGCATGTTTAGCCTGAAGAAGAGAAGGCTGAGAGGGGATATGATAGCCATGTATAAATATGTGAAGGAAGCCACAGGGAGGAGGAGGGAGCAAGCTTGTTTTCTGCTTCCCTGGAGACTAGGACACAATGGAACAATGGCTTCAAACTACAAGAGAGGAGATTCCATCTGAACATAAGGAAGAACTTCCTGACTGTGAGAGCCGTTCAGCAGTGGAACTCTCTGCCCCAGTGTGGTGGAGGCTCCTTCTTTGGAAGCTTTTAAACAGAGGCTGGATGGCCATCTGTCGGGGGTGATTTGAATGCAATATTCCTGCTTCTTGGCAGAATGGGGTTGGACTGGATGGCCCAGGAGGTCTCTTCCAACTCTTGGATTCTATGATTCTATCCCTGACAGAGATGTGGGCGAAACGTCAGGAGAGAATGCTTCTGGGGCATGGCTATACAGCCCGGAAAACTTACAGCAACCCAGTGATTTTGGCCATGAAAACCTTCAATAACGCAAGAAAAATAATGTTATGATTGGAGGGGTCACCACGACACAAGGAACTGTATGCAGTGGTCGCTGCATTTGCAAGGTGGAGAAAGACTGTTGCATGGCTTCAGACCTCGCAACCTCTGGGATGCCTGCCAGAGATGTGGGTGAAATGTCAGGAGAGCATGCTTCTGGAATATTAAATCTGTCATGTATCTAAGAGGGTGTGGACTGGATGGTCTTTGGGGTCCTTCTTCCAACAGACCTCACGACCTCTGGGGATGCCGGGCAGAGATGTGGGCGAAATGTCAGGAGAGCATGCTTCTGGAATATTAAATCTGTCATGTATCTAAGAGGGTGTGGACTGGATAGTCTTTGGGGGGGTCCTTCTTCCAATTTCCAACAGACCTCACGACCTCTGGGGATGCCGGGCAGAGATGTGGGCAAAATGTCAGGAGAGCATGCTTCTGGAACTTGGCCAGGCAACTTACAGGAACCCAGTGATTTTGGCCATGAAAGCCTTCAATTGCGCAACCAAAATAATGTTATGGTTGGGGAGTCACCACGACACGAGGAACTGTATGCAGTGGGCACTGCATTTGCAAGGTGGAGAAATACTGTTGCATGGCTTCAGACCTCACAACCTCTGGGGATGCCTGCCAGAGATGTGGGCGAAATGTCAGGAGAGCATGCTTCCGGAATTTGGCCAGGCAACTTATAGGAACCCAGTGATTTTGGCCATGAAAGCCTTCAATTGCGCAACCAAAATAATGTTATGGTTGGGGGGGTCACCACGACACGAGGAACTGTATGCAGTGGTCACTGCATTTGCAAAGTGGAGCAAGACTGTTGCATGGATTGGCTTCCAAGCTGAGGCCTGCGTTGCTCATCCAGCCATCCAGCCAGCCAACCCCCTCCTTGTGCATCTTTCTTTCCCTGCGCATTATCCTCCTCCTCCTCCACTTCCTCTTCTTCCTCCTCTTTCTCTCTCTCTCTCTCTCTCTCTTCCTCCGCCTCCTTCCTCTCATTCTTCTCTCCCAAGCAGAAGGACCTCTGCCCGGCGGAGATGACATCACCTTTCCAAACCCCGAAATGACGCAGGTATCTATTTTTAAGGGTCCAATCAGGAGGGCCTGGGGGTCACATGGTGCTCTGAGGCAAAGGGGGGGGGGGCTTTGGAGGAAGAGGAGGAGGAGGAAGAGGAAGGTTACGCATCCGAGGAGCCAACCAGGCGCAAAGGAAAAGGGTTCGCATCGAGGGGAGGGGGAGGGAGGGGGGTCCTTTTTGGCCCCCTCTCCATTTTGCAAGAGGAAGTTGAAAGGGGGGATGTAGGGGGAGAGAGGGGGGGTTGCGTTTGGCAGGCGTTGGACAGCGCCCGGCTATGCACCTGCCGACACCTGCCGCCGGAGCCAAACGATCCATATAGATATAGATATAGATATATATGCCTATTTCTATTTATTGTCTCCTCTCGTCCTTTCCGCAGCTGGATCCCATGGGAAAGGGCCGGGCCGGAGGAGACGTCGGATTCGCAACCAGCCCCATCCTGGTCGTCCTCGTCATCTCCATCGCCGGCATGGTTCCTGCAGGCCAGATGTCACCGGCGGCGTCCAGCTCCGGACCGGATTGAATCGGAACCCAGGCCCATGGATTGGCCGCTTGGAGACGCGCCAAAGTAGCTGAGCTCCGGCTCGCCCCCGAAAAGGTCCTCGTTTTGCTCTCTTCCCAGCAAGAAAAGGTTTGTTTTCCCATCAAGGGCATCGGCTCCCTTCGAAAGTCAGGGGTCTGAAGGGGGGCATTCCAGTGACCCCATTTCTGGGGTTTTGTTTTGACAAGGACGGCGAGGTTGGGTTCTTCGTCCCTCGGCAAAACAGGTCCGATCGGAAGCAAAACCTTTCGTTGCTCGCTTGCAGCAGAAGCAACTGATCCGTTGGTCTTCTTCGTCATCCTTGCACAAATTACCCACATCCATCTAGACTCGGGTCCACTTTTGGGGTATTCCAGTGACCCCATTTCTGGGGTTTTGTTTTGACAAGGACGGCGAGGTTGGGTTCTCCGTCCCTCGGCGAAACGGGTCCGATCGGAAGCAAAATCCTTCGTTGCTCGCTCGGAGCAGAAGTAACCAATCCGTTGGTCTCCTTCGTCATCCTTGAACGAATTACCCACATCCATCTAGACTCAGGTCAGGGGTCAGTCCACTTGTGCCACATCCATCTAGACTTGGGTCAGGGGTCAGTCCACTTTTGGGGTATTCCAGTGACCCCATTTCTGGGATTTTGTTTTGACAAGGACAGCAAGGTTGGGTTCTTCGTCCCTCGGCAAAACGGGTCGGATCGGAAGCAAAACCTTTCATTGCTCGCTTGGAGCAGAAGCAACCGATCCGTTGGTCTCCTTCGTCATCCTTGAATAAATTACCCACATCCATGTAGACTCAGGTCCACTTTTGGGGTATTCCAGTGACCCCATTTCTGGGATTTTGTTTTGACAAGGACGGCGAGGTTGGCTTCTCCGTCCCTCGGTGAAAGAGGTCCGATCAGAGGCAAAACCCTTCCGATCGAACCATCGTTGCTCACTTGGAGCAGAAGCAACCAATCCATTTGTCTCCTTTGTCATCCTTGAACAAATTACCCACATCCATCTAGACTCAGGTCTACTTTTGGGGTATTCCAGTGACCCCATTTCTAGGGTTTTGTTTTGAGAAGGACAGCAAGGTTGGGTTCTTCGTCCCTCGGTGAAACAGGTCCGATCAGAAGCAAAACCCTTCCGATTGAACCATCGTTGCTCACTCGGAGCAAAAGCAACCAATCCATTGGTCTCCTTCGTCATCCTTGAACAAATTACCCACATCCATCTAGACTTGGGTCGGGGGTCAGACCACTTTTGGGCATTCCAGTAACCCCATTTCTGGGATTTTGTTTTGACAGGGACAGCAAGGTTGGGTTCTTCGTCCCTCGGCGAAACGGGTCCGATCGGAAGCGAAACCCATTGTTGCTCACTCGGAGCAGAAGCAACCGATCCGTCAGTCTCCTTCGTTGTATAGATACCTGCATCCATCTAGACTTGGGTCAGGGGTCAGTCCACTTTTGGGCATTCCAGTGACTCAATTTATGGGATTTTGTTTTGACAAGGACAGCAAGGTTGGCTTTTTTGTCCTTCAGCAAAACAGGTCCGATCAGAAGCGAAACCCTCTGTTGCTCAGTCGGAGCAGAAGCAACCGATCCGTTGGTCTCCTTCGTCATCCTTGAACGAATTACCCACATCCATCTCGACTTGAATCAGGGGTCAGTCCACTTTTGGGCATTCCAGTGACCCCATTTCTGGGATTTTGTTTTGACAAGGACAGCAAGGTTGGCGTCTTCATCCCCGGCGAAACAGGTCTGATCAGAAGCGAAACCCTTCCGTAGGACCTTCTGATCGACCCATCGTTGCTCACTTGGACTAGAAGCAACCGATCCGTTGGTCTCCTTCGTCATCCGTGAACAAATTGCCCAATTTTTGGACTTTGCCGGCATCCATCTAGACTTGGGTCAGAGGTCAGCCTACTTTGGGGCATTCCAGTGACTCCGTTTCTGGGATTTTGTTTTGAGAGGGACAGCAAGGTTGGCTTCTTCATTCCTCGGCGAGACAGGTCCGATCAGAAGAGTGACCCTTCTGATTTACCCATTGTTGCTCACCCAAAGCAGAAGCAACCAATCCATTGGTCTTCTTCGACATCTAGATACCTGCATCCATCTAGACTTGGGTCAGGGGTCCACTTTTGGGCATTCCAGTGACCCCATTTCTGGGATTTTGTTGTGACAAGGACAGCAAGGTTGGCTTCTTCATCCCTCGGCGAAACAGGTCCGATCAGAAGCGAAACCCTTCCACAGGACCTTCTGATCGACCCATCATTGCTCACTTGGACCAGAAGCAACCGATCCGTTGGTCTCCTTTGTCATCCTTGAACGAATTACCCAATTTTTGGACTTTACCGGCATCCATCTAGACTTGTCCCGATAGGCCACCGATGGTCTAGATGTGAGCCACCCATTTTGCCCTCAAAGTCCCCCCTTTTTTTGGCATCAGACCCCTTTTATTTTGGCAACGACAGCAACAGATGTGAAACCTTTCCAGGATACGTTGGACTCGACTGGTCACTCACCTGGGCTCGAAGCACAGGAGACGTTGGACTCGACTGGTCACTCACCTGGGCCCAAAGCACAGGGGAGTTGATTACTCACCTGGGCCTGAAGCACAGGCAACGTTGGACTCGACTGGTCACTCACCTGGGCCCAAAACACAGGGGACTTTGGACTCGACTGGTCACTCACCTGGGCCCGAGGCACAGGAGACGTTGGACTCAACTGGTCACTCAACTGGGCCTGAAGCACAGGGGACATTGGACTCAACTGGTCACTCACCTGGGCCCGAGGCACAGGGGACGTTGGACTCAACTGGTCACTCACCTGAGCCCGAAGCACAGGGGACGTTGGACTCAACGGGTCACTCACCTGGGCCCGAAGCACAGGAGACGTTGGACTCAACTGGTCACTCACCTGAGCCCGAAGCACAGGAGACGTTGGACTCGACTGGTCACTCAACTGGGCCTGAAGCACAGGGAACTTTGGACTCGACTGGTCACTCACCTGGGCCCAAAGTGATTGTCTCCATGCTGTGTCATCCTTGAAGGAATTACATGGTTTGGGGGTTTGCCAATACCTGTCCAAATAGTCAACTGCCCTGGATGTGAGCCACCATTTTGGTGTCCGAATCAGTGACCCCAGCTATTTGTCCAGAGAGGAACGTGGACACTCGATGGCCCGAGCAGGCCCTGGACCTTGCCATGGGGAAGCCTAAAGAGTTGCCCGAATACTATTAGGCTGGCCGTCTCACCTTGTCTTCTCCCCTTTCCTGCTTCTCCTCCCGGGTGCATTTGAGGTCACGGCCACTGACCATGGAGACGAAGATCCCTCCGGCCGTGACCCCGACCAGTCCTTCCTCGCCGGGCCTCTCCCCGGTGCCGCCGCCGGACAAAGTGGACGGCTTCTCCCGCCGGTCGCTCCGCCGGTCCCGCCAGCGCCGGTCCCACAGTTCGTCCCAGTTCCGGTACCAGAGCAACCAGCAGGAGCTGACGCCACTGCCTTTGCTGAAAGGTAATAACAACAATAACAACAATAACAATAATATACTTTATTTATTTATTTTATTTATTTGTGCCCCCCCCCCCCCCCCGATGGCGCAGTGGGTTAAACCACTGAACTCGGTGGACTACCGTGGACTACCGTGGCCAAATCAGACTTCCCAAGGTACGGGCGCAGCTGGCGCACAAGTTTGAGTTGTGCAAATGCTCCCCTGGACACCGCCGAATTTAACGGCCGCCGGTTTAACCGCTGTATTATGTTTTAATTGCATTGTAAACCGCATTGAGTCGCCTGTTAAGGGCTGAAAAATGCGGTATAAAAAATGAAGCAAATAAATAAACTCCTGAACTCGCTGAGTGAAAGGTTAGCAGTTCGAATCCAGGGAGTGGAATGAGTTCCCGCCGTTCGCCCCAGCTCCTGCCCACCTAGCAGTTCCATATACGATTCCTTCAGGTAGGAAGCAGCTAGGCTTCCTGCCTGGCCATTCAAGGCCATTCTGCAAGGCCATTCAATGCTAATCAAGCTGGCCAATGTCAACATTCACACTTGCCTCCAGCAGACAAGAGTTCTTTCTCCCACCCTGGACATCATTCCACTGGAATAAATATATATATGATTCCCTCAGGCAGGAAGCAGCCAGRCTTTGAAGCTGCAAGGCCATTCAGTGCTAATYAAGCTGGCCAATGTCAACATTCACACTTGCCTCCAGCAGACAAGAGTTCTTTCCCCCATCCTGGACATCATTCCATATACATATACATACACACACACACACACACACACACACACACACACATATATATATATATAGGATTCCCTCAGGCAGGAAGCAGCCAGACTTTGAAGCTGCAAGGCCATTCAACGGTAATCAAGCTGGCCAATGGCAACATTAACACTTGCCTCAATCAGACAAGAGTTCTTTCTCCCACAGTGAACATTATTCCACAGATATGGATATATATATGATTCCTTCAGGCAGGAAGCAACCAGGCTCTGAAGCTGCAAGGCCATTTGATTCTAATCAAGCTGGCCGATGGCAACATTCACACTTGCCTCCAACAGACAAGAGTACTTTCCCCCACCCTGGACATCATTCCATATACATATACATATACATACACACACACACACATATATATATAGGATTCCCTCAGGCAGGAATCAGCCAGGCTTTGAAGCTGTAAGGCCATTTGATTCCAATCAAGCTCGCCGATGGCAACATTCACACTTGCCTCCAACAGACAAGAGTCCTTTCTCCCACCCTGGACCTCATTCCACAGATAGATAGATAGATAGATAGATAGATAGATAGATAGGATTCCCCCAGGCAGGAAGCAGCCAGGCTTTGAAACTGCAAGGCCATTAAGTGCCAATCAAGCTGGCCAATGGTAATATTCACACTTACCTCCAGCAGACAAGAGTTCTTTCTCCCACCCTGGACATCATTCCACAGATAGATATCCTCAATTGCCTAGTTTCCAACAGACCCCACAACCTCTGACGATGCCTGCCATAGATGTGGGCGAAACGTCAGGAGAGCATGCTTCTGAAACATAGCAATTCACTGCAACCTAGGTATGTTTAGCTTGGAGAAAAGAAAGCTGAGGACAGTTGCTCTTTCCCAGCTCTGTGATAATAATAATAATAATAATAATAATTATTATTATTATTATTATTATCATTATTATTATTATTACTATTATTCTCGGCCTGTGTGTTATTATTATTCTCGGCCTCCTTCCTGCTCCATATGTTTCCATATGCATCCAGATCCTCAAAGTCTCCGCTGTGTCTGAAGCGGAGAGTTGCCATGGTTCTCTTTCCCTTGGGGGGCTTTGCAGAAGGCCTTCCGTCCTCATTCTTTGGGATATGTAGAGCAAGACTCGATAGTCCATGCACTTTAACTCTATTGATGCAGACTCGAATCGCCTTGGCCCTATTGACTGCCACACCACAACGCTGATTGAGCATCAGCTTGGGGTCTGCGAAGGGTTCTAGATCCCTTTGACATGTGGTGTTCTCAAGCCACATGTCACTCATTCACATCCTATATGACTTCCCTCAATCTAGGGCAAACTTTAGCCCTACCTCCAGGTGTTTTGGACTCCACAATCCCTAACAGCCAGTGAACTACAACTCCCAAACTCAAGATCAATGCCCACCATACCCTTTCAGTGTTTTCTGTTGGTCATGGGAGTTCTGTGTGCCAAGTTTGGTTCAGTTCTCCCATTGGTGGAGTTCAGAATGCTCTTTGATTATAGGTGAACTATAAATCCCAGCAACTACAACTACCAAACGTCAAGGTCTATTTTCTCCAAACTCCACCAGTGTTCACATTTGGGCATATCGAGCATTTGTCCCAAGTTTGGTCTAGATCCATCATTGTTTGTGCTCTCTGGATGTAGGTGAACTACAAATCCCAGCAACTACAACTCCCAGACGTCAAGGTCTATTTTCTCCAAACTCCACCAGTATTCACATTTGGGCATGCTGAGTATTTGTGCCAAGTTTGGTCTAGATCCATCATTGTTTGTGCTCTCTGGATAGGTAAACTATAGATCCCAAACTAAAGATCAATGCCCACCAAACCCTTCCAGTGTTTTCTGTTGGTCATGGGAGTTCTGTGTCCCAAGTTTGGTTAAATTCCCCCATTGGTGGAGTTCAGAATGCTCTTTGATTGCAGGTGAACTATAAATCCCAGCAACTACAACTCCCAAAGGTCAAGGTCTATTTCCCCCAAACTTCACCAGTGTTCACATTTGGGCATATTGAGTATTCGTCCCAAGTTTGATCCAGATCCATCATTGATTGAGTCCACAGTGCTCTCTGGATGTAGGCGAACTATAGCTCCCAAACTCAAGGTCAATGCCCACTAAACTCTTCCAGTGAAATATAAATCCCAGCAACTACAACTCCCAAATGTCAAGGTTTATTTTCTCCAAACTCCACCAGTGTTCACATTTGGCCTTATTGAGCATTTGTGCCAAGTTTGGTCTAGATCCATCACTGTTTGTGCTCTATTGATGTAGGTGAACTACAACTCCCAAACTCAAGGTCAATGCCCACCAAACCCTTCCAGTATTTTGTGTTGGTCATGGGAGTTCTGTGTGCCAAGTTTGGTTCAATTCCCTCATTGGTGGAGTTCAGAATGCTCTTTGATTGCAGGTGAACTATAAATCCCAGCAACTACAATTCCCAACTGTCAAGGTCTATTTCCCCCAAACTCCACCAATGTTCACATCTGGGCATATGGAGTCTTCGTGCCAAGTTTGGTCCAGATCCATCATTGTTTGAGTCCACAATGCTCTCTGGATGTAGGTGAACTACAACTCCCAAACGCAAGGTCAATGCCCACCAAACCCTACCAATATTTTCTGTTAATCATGGGATCATATGTACCAAATCTGGCCCAAATCTATCATTGGTGGAGTTCGGAATGCTCTTTGATTGCAGGTTAGTTAAAAATCCCAGCAAACTACAACTCCCAAATGACAAAATCAATTCCTCCCAAACCCCACCAGTATTCAAATTTGGGAGTTTGTGCCATATTGGATCCAGTGAATGAAAATACATCCTGCATATCAGATATTTACATTGCAATTCGTAACGGTCGGAAAATTATAGATATGAAGTAGCAATGAAAATAATATTATGGTTGGGGGGCCACCACTGAAGAGGAACCGTATTAAGGGGTCGCGGCATTAGGAAGGCTGAGAAACACAGAGCAATAGCCATTAAGACATTTTGGCACCGGAGAACTCTTAATTCTTGTTCAGAACCAAAATGTCGAATTGGCACGGGTGAAAAGCAGTAATGGGATCGATAAAACTCCCTTAATGGGATTATGACTCAGAGATGATTTGAACTGGGTAAATATTTTAAGACCTGGAAACTTGTTTGCCCAATTCCATCGTTGGTGGGGTTCAGAATGCTCTTTGATTGTAGGTGAACTATAAATCCCAGCAACTACAACTCCCAAATGTCAAAGTTTATTTTCCCCAAACTCCACCAGTGTTCACTTTTGGGCATATTGAGTATCCGTGCCAAGTTTGGTCCAGATCCATCATTGTTTGAGTCCACAGTGCTCTCTGGATGTAGGTGAACTATAACTCCCAAACTCAAGATCAATGCCCACCAAACACTCCCAGTATTTTCTCTTGGTCATAGGAGTTCTGTGTGCCAAGTTTGGTTCAATTCCACTGTTGGTAGTGTTCAGAATACTCTTTGATTGTTGGTGAACTATAAATCCCAGCAACTACAACTCTCAGATGTCAAGGTCTATTTTCCCCAAACTCCACCAGTGTTCACATTTGGGCATATTGAGTATTTGTGCCAAGTTTGGTCCAGCTCCATCATTGTTTGAGTTTCTGGAAGTAGGTGAACTACAACTCCCAAACTCAAGGTCAGTGTCCACCAAACCCTTCTAGTATTTTCTGCTGGTTATAGGAGTTCTTTGTGCCAAGTTTGGTTCAATTCCATTGTTGGTGGAGTTCAGAATGCTCTTTGCTTGTAGGTGAACTATAAACCCCAGCAACTACAACTCCCAAGTGCAATCCCCAAATGTCAAGGTCTGTTGTCCCCAAACGCCATCAATGTTCAACATCTGGGTCTATGGAGCCTTTGTGCCAAGTTTGGTTCAATTCCATTGTTGGTGGAGTTCAGAATGCTCTTTGATTGTAGGTGAACTATAAATCCCAGCAACTGCAAGTCCCAAATGTCAAGGTCTATTGTCCCCAAACTCCACCAGCGCTCCACATTTGGGCATATGGAGTCTTCGTGCCAAGTTTGGTCCAGATCCATCATTGTATGAGTCCAGAGTTCTCTCTGGGTGGAAGTGAACTACAACTCCCAAACTCAAGGTCAATGCCCACCAAACTCTTCCAGTATATTTTGTTGGTAATGGGAGTTCTGTGTCCCAAGTTTGGCGCAATTCCATCATTGGTAGAGTTCAGAATACTCTTTGATTGTAGGTGAACTATAAATCCCAGCAACTACAACTCTCAGCTGTCAAGGTCTATTTTCCCTAAACTCCACCAGTGTTCACATTTGGGCATATTGAGTATCCGTGCCAAGTTTGGTCCAGATCCATCATTGTTTGATTCCAGAGTGCTCTCTGGATGTAGGCAAACTACAACTCCCAAACTCAAGGTCAATGCTCACCAAACCTTCCCAGTATTTTCTGTTGGTCGTAGGAGTTCTGTGTGCCAAGTTTGGTCCAATTCTATCGTTGGTGGATGCTCTTTGATTATAAGCGAACTATAAATCCCAGCAACGAGAACTCCGAAATGACAAGGTCTATTTTCCCCAAACTACACCGGTGTTCAGGTGAACTACAACTCCTAAACTCAAAGTCAATGCCCACCATACCCTCCCAGTATTTTCTATTGGTCATGGGAGTTATGTGTACCAAGTTTGGTTCAATTCCATTGTTGGTGGAGCTCAGAATGCTCTTTGATTGTAGGTGAACTATAAATCCCAGCAACTACAACTCCCAAATGACAAAAGTAGCTGACGACGAACAGTAAGGTTCCTGAGGCTGTTAGAAACTATGGGAGTTGAAGTCCAAAACACTAGTAGGGAGGGCCCAAGTTTGCCCAGGCCCGGTCTAGGTCCTGATTACAACAACTAAACGAATTGCAACTCATCCGTTTCCTTCCTCCGTTGTGGCTATTTTAAGGTAAATTAAAATACAGAAAGTCCTGACAGCGATCGGCCTGCGTTAATAATGTAGAAGGGACTCGCAACCAGGAGCCAACGTTAATAATGCAATTGCTTCTGGTAAGAACGTGGTCCATTAAGAAAGGCAGAGCTATCCAAGGTGCTGAACCCGTGGGGTCGATCTGGTTCAGGACCTTGGATAGCAGCCCTTTCCAAAGCCAATGCGGTTCAAGGCCACAATGAAAATGTGAAATGCACGGGTATGCAAATATCTGCACAATATGCAGATATATGCACAGGTATGCAAATATATGCACAATATGCAAATATATTCACAATATGCAAATATACACAAAATATGCATATATACACACAATATACAAATATAGGCACAATATGCAAATATAGGCACAATATGCAAATATAGGCACAATATGCAAATATAGGCACAGGTAAAAGGGACTAGGAGTCACACATGAGTCAACGGGGATAGCAACCCTTTCCAAAGGCAATGCGATACGAGGCCACGATGAAAATGTGAAATGCACAGATATGCAAATATATGCACAATATATACACACAATATGCAAAGATACGCACAATATGCAAATATAGGCACAATATGCAAATATAGAGACAGGTGAAAGGGACTAGGAGTCAAACGAGGATAGCAACCCTTTCCAAAGCCAATTAGATTCGAGGCCACGATGAAAATGTGAAATGCAAGGTATGCAAATATATGCACAGGTATGCAAATATATGCACAGATATGCAAATATAGGCACAATATGCAAATATAGTCACAATATGGAAATATAGGCACAATATGCAAATATAGGCACAATATGCATATATACACACAATATGCAAATACAGGCACAATATGCAAATATACACACAATATACAAATATAGGCACAACATGCAAATATATGCACAATATACAAATATAGGCACAATATGCAAATATAGGCACAATATGCAAATATAGGCACAATATGCATATATACACACAATATGCAAATACAGGCACAATATGCAAATATAGGCACAATATGCATATATAGGCACAATATGCAAATATAGGCACAATATGCAAATATACGCACAATATGCATATATACACACAATATACAAATATAGGCACAATATGCAAATATACGCACAATATACAAATATAGGCACAATATGCATATATAAACACAATATGCAAATATAGGCACAATATGCAAATATAGCCACAATATGCAAATATAGCCACAATATGCAAATATAGCCACAATATGCAAATATAGGCACAGGTGAAAGGGACTAGGAGTCAAACATGAGTCAACGGGGATAGCAACCCTTTCCAAAAGCAATGCAATACGAGGTCAAGATGAAAATGTGAAATGCACAGATATGCAAATATATGCACAATATATACACACAATATGCAAATATCGGCACAATATGCAAATATAGGGACAGGTGAAAGGGACTAGGAGTCAAACGAGGATAGCAACCCTTTCCAAAGCCAATTAGATTCGAGGCCACAATGAAAATGTGAAATGCACAGGTATGCAGATATATGCACAGGTATGCAGATATATGCACAGGTATGCAAATATATGCACAGATATGCAAATATAGGCACAATATACAAATATAGGCACAATATGCAAATATAGGCACAATATGCAAATATAGGCACAATATGCAAATATATGCACAGCTGAAAGGGACTGAGTCCAACATGAGCCAACGGGGATTCCCACTTGTTTCTTCTCCCGACTCCCATTGCAGATGCCCCAGTTTCCGAGCTCCACGACCTCCTCTGCAAGAAACTCCAGCAATGCTCCATTCTCTTCGATTTCCTCGACTGTGTGGCCGACCTGAAGGGCAAGGAGATCAAGAGGGCCGCCTTGAATGAACTGGTGGAGTGTGTGGCCACCAACCGGGGCATCCTCATCGAGCCGCTCTACCCTGAAATCATCAAGATGGTGAGTCTCGGCAAAGTCTCTGGGGGTTTTCCAGCAGAAGCTGGGTGGTCATCTGTTGGGAGGGTTTGGATGATGTCTTCCCACATTGCAGAACAGAGTTGGATTCATTGACCTTCAGGGGCAGGAAGTCGGGAGGTGGGACCGCTGAATGTTGGGCTTATCCGACATTCAGTCCGGTCTGGATTTCATAGGCAGTAAGAGCAACTAAAGCTTCAGAGAGCTTATGTTCAACCATTTCAAAGCTCCCTGCTTGGGCGGTGATGGCACGATCGTCAGCATAGATAGATTTGGAATCAGCTGGGTTTCCTTGTAATAGGCAGTAAGACCACCTAAAGCTTCAGAGAGCTTTCGTTTGACCATTTCAAGGCTCCCTACTTGAGTGGTGATGACATGATCGTCAGCATAGATGGATTAGGAATCAGCTGGTTTTCCTTGTAATAGGCAGTAAGACCACCTAAAGCTTCAGAGAGCTTTCGTTTGAACATTTCAAGGCTCCCTACTTGAGTGGTGATGACATGATCGTCAGCATAGATGGATTAGGAATCAGCTGGTGTTCCTTGTAATAGGCAGTAAGACCACCTAAAGCATCGGAGAGCTTCTGTTTGACCATTTCAAAGCTCCCTACTTGAGTGGTGATGACATGATCATCAGCATAGATGGATTAGGAATCAGCTGGTTTTCCTTGTAATAGGCAGTAAGACCACCTAAAGCTTCTGTTCGATCATTTCAAAGCTCCCTGCTTGGGTGTTGATGACATGATCGTCAGCATAGATGGATTAGGAATCCACTGGTTTTCCTTGTAATAGGCAGTAAGAGCACCTAAAGCATCGGAGAGCTTCTGTTCAGCCATTTCAAAGCTCCCTGCTTGGGTGGTGATGGCATGATCATCGGCGTAGACAAAGGTATAAGAAGGTAAAGATAAAGGTTTTACCCTGACATTAAGTCCATGTTGCACTCCAGGATGGGAAAAGCCCTCTAAACACCCCACCGTTGATTGGAAAACAATCCTTTTATTGAAAATCATTAAAAAGCAGCCAAGTAAAAAGCACTTTAAAGGAATAGGTAAATCCAATTAGGTAAGAAGATAGGCAGGAGCAAAAATAGCCTAGGGTAAAGTTCAGGGTAAACAAAGTCCACACTTCTCTAATATAATTCAGGAATACAGGAAACATTAATCCAAGGCATGAGTAGGCATTCATACAATCCAAGAATCCAAACCATGAAACAAGAAATACTTAGACAAGAATCTCCCAAGCAAGGGTTCCATGAAACAAGGACGAGAACTTCACCTGATTCCAAATGATGCTTCGTCTGACTATATTTCCCATACTTGGAACTTTTATCCCTTCGTTAAGCTATTTCAAGTACTCAGAAATTAGTTTCGCGTTAATTGAGATTCCCTTATCTTTTTCTGTCGGATCCTGACAGACCGCCGAAGCCACTGTTCGGTCTGCCTGTTTTGTCCTGCTGCCTATCTATTTGCTCATTAAGTTTTGCAGCTGGGCCAGGTGCCCCGTTGTTTTCAAGCCCCAAATCCTGGGAACTCTCTAGTAACAATTCGGGGAGTACACTATCATCCCTACACCCACACCCTTCAGGGACATTCTCATGGGAAACTACACTTTGCACAGGGGTCTCCTGGTCCTTCTCGTGTGTGTGTGTGTGTGTGTGTGTGTGAGTACGTGTGTGTGTGTATATATATATATGATTCCGCAAGCTTGGGATTTGCATGGTGGTTTACTGCGTGATGAATATCATGGGTTGTTGGCACTACATTATATTATTATTACTATTATTATTACTATTATTATTATTACTACTATTATTACTATCATTACTATTACTATTATTATTACTATTATTACTATTACTATCTCGGGTCCCCAGTGTTGCCTGGGTTATTTGAAAAAGTCAATTTGTTAATTGTACACAATGCATAAGGTTGTGGGTGAACTACAACTCCCATCAGGCCAGGTTCACCCGAAAATCTCCATCAGTGCTTAAAGTTTGTTATGTATCGTGGGTGGGGTTCAGTGTGCTCTCTGGCTGCAGGGTGAACTACAACTCCCTCTATGTCCCCTCTTATGTATCGTGGGTGGGGTTCAGTGTGCTCTCTGGCTGCAGGGTGAACTACAACTCCCTCTATGTCCCCTCTTATGTATCGTGGGTGGGGTTCAGTGTGCTCTCTGGCTGCAGGGTGAACTACAACTCCCTCTATGTCCCCTCTTATGTATCGTGGGTGGGGTTCAGTGTGCTCTCTGGCTGCAGGGTGAACTACAACTCCCTCTATGTCCCCTCTTATGTATCGTGGGTGGGGTTCAGTGTGCTCTCTGGCTGCAGGGTGAACTACAACTCCCTCTATGTCCCCTCATAGAGGGTTGGATCAGTCATGGGGGGGGGGGGGTTCTGTGTGCCAAGTTTGGTCCAGGTCTATTATTGGTGGAGATCACTGTTTCCCCGATTGTGGGTGAACTACAACTCCCAGAAAGGAAGGCTTGTTCCTCTCAAACCCCTCCAATGACTCTTTAAGCCGCTCCTCATAGGGCTTGTTCTCCAGACCCTTGGTCATTTTAGTCGTCCTCCTCTGGACACATTCCAGCTTGGAGTCAACATCTCCCTTCAAGTCGGCGAAAAGCCTTGTGAAGCTACAACTCCCAGGATACCATAAGCATGGGTCAATTCGTGCAGACTTCAAAGCCCTGGCTGACCCTTCCTCCTTTTCTCTCCAGATCTCGGTCAACATTTTCCGGACGCTTCCACCCAGTGAAAACCCCGAATTTGACCCTGAAGAGGATGAGCCCAATTTGGAACCCTCTTGGCCCCACCTCCAGGTAAGACCCAAAGACCCAAAGACCTTGGAAGAAAATGGTTTACTTCCAGGACGATAAAGACAGAGAGTACACACACATAGGCAAAGGCTTCCCCTTTTCCATCTCTAGATGCCGGAGGTGGAGAAAGGGAAGCCTTTGCCTCTGACTGTGTAGTCTCTGTCTTTGTTGGTAATTGTATAATGGCATTGAATGTTTGCCATAAATATAATTAATTAATTAATTTAATAATATAAAATAATACATAATTTATTTATAAATAATAAATAATAAATAAATAATAATATTATTAATAATTAATATTTAATTATATAATTATAATTAAAAATTATATAATTAATAATTAATTAATTATTAATTAATATTAATTAAGCGATAACGGTCGGCTCGGAATTGTCTGTCGTGAGGTAAAATGGCGGCATGCTGAGGAGAGCATTTCTCTTTGTGTAAGTAAACATTATATTACTTTCATTTGATTTAGATACATCTATAAAACATATTTATGCATCGATTTATACACATATTTAACTTTAATACACATATTTAATTTATATTTAATTAATATAAATTAATTATATTTAATTATAATTAACTATAATTATATAATTGATGTATATAATTTATACATTTATATATTTTAATTATAATTAAATAATTATAGTTATATAATTAATTTATATAATTTATATAATTTATATAAATATAATTAAATTAATTATAATTAAATATAATTAAATATAAATTAAATTAATTATATTTAATTTATATTTAATATAAATACACATATTTATAAAGCGCATTCTTTTATGCATTCTTTTATTCTTTTAATACACATATTTAATTTATATTTAATTTTAATTATTTTAATTAATATTATTTTATTATTAATTTAATTAATAATTATCATATTTCTTACTCCTTATTTTTTTCTATGTATTTATAAAGCACATTCTTCCATGCATTCTTTTATTTTAGTACACATATTTAATTTTAATTAATATTATTTTATTTTGTAATTTAATTAATAATTATCATATTTCTTACTCCTTATTTGTTTTGTATGTATTTATTAAGCACATTCTTTTATGCATTCTTTTATTCTTTTAATACACATATTTAATTTATATTTAATTTTAATTATTTTAATTAATATTATTTTATTATTAATTTAATTAATAATTATCATATTTCTTACTCCTTATTTTTTTCTATGTATTTATAAAGCACATTCTTCCATGCATTCTTTTATTTTAGTACACATATTTAATTTTAATTAATATTATTTTATTTTGTCTTTAAATCTAATAATTAATGAATGAATACTTATGAAATTAATTCATTAATAAATAAATAATAAATACAATTAATTAATTATTACATTAATGTTCATTAAGAACATACTAATACACATCAATGTTTTTTATTTTTATAATACACTATAATTAATCATATAATTCTTCTCCTTCTGGTCATTCCTCCTTACTTATTACCATTCCTTCCTTCCTTCCTTCCTTACTAGGACCTTCCTTCCTTTCCTTCTACTATCCATTCTTCATCTCATTATCCTGCATTTAATTATATCCCTCTAAATAATTCTTCTTCTTCCTTTTCCTTACTTCCTTCTTCCTACCTTTTCTTTTCCCCTCTCCCTTCCTTCCTTCCTTCCTTCCTTCCTTCCTTCCTTCCTTCCTTCCTTCCTTCCTTCCTTTCCTTCCTTTCCTTCTCTCCCTCTCCCTCCCTCCTTCCTTTAATAATAATAATAATAATAATAATAATTTAATAATAATAGTAATATTAATAATAAATAAAACATTAATATTCCTCCCTATCTCCCCGGAGGGACTCACGACAGAAATATGTATTCTGTAATCCGCTCTGAGTCTCCTTGGAGAGGTAGAGCAGAATATAAATAAAGTACATTATATTATATACTATTTTTGGTACCCAGCATTGCCCGCGTTATTTGAGAAAGTCAGTTTTTTGATTGTGCAAAATGAATAAAGAAACACTGGGATGTCTGTGGTGGAGGAAACACGTAAAATCTAGTTGCTGATTAGTTCTGCTCTGTTTGTTGTGCCCTGCAGAAAAGAGTAGGAAAGGGTTAAGGGAGAGGCAGTGGGCGGGGTCTTGCAAATTCCACACCAATGGAGAGAGTAAGAAACACTGGGATGTCTGTGGTGGAGGAAACACGTAATATCTAGTTGCTGATTAGTTCTGCTCTGTTTATTGTGCCCTGCAGAAAAGAGTAGGAAAGGGTTAAGGGAGAGGCAGCGGGCGGGGTCTTGCAAATTCCACACCAATGGAGAGAGTAAGAGACACTGGGATGTCTGTGGTGGAGGAAACACGTAATATCTAGTTGCTGATTAGTTCTGCTCTGTTTGTTGTGCCCTGCAGAAAAGAGTAGGAAAGGGTTAAGGGAGAGGCAGTGGGCGGGGTCTTGCAAATTCCACACCAATGGAGAGAGTAAGAAACACTGGGATGTCTGTGGTGGAGGAAACACGTAAAATCTAATTGCTGATTAGTTCTGCTCTGTTTGTTGTCCCTTGCAGAAAAGAGCAGGGAAGGGTTAAGGGAGAAGCCGTGGGCGGGGTCTTGCAAGTTCCACGCCAATGGAGAGAGTAAGAAACACTGGGATGTCTGTGGTGGAGGAAACACGTAAAATCTAATTGCTGATTAGTTCTGCTCTGTTTGTTGTGCCCTGCAGAAAAGAGTATGAAAGGGTTAAGGGAGAGGCAGTGGGTGGGGTCTTGCAAGTTCCACACCAATGGAGAGAGTAAGAAACACTGGGATGTCTGTGGTGGAAGAAACACGTAAAATCTAGTTGCTGATTAGTTCCACACCAATGGAGAGAGTAAGAAACACTGGGATGTCTGTGGTGGAAGAAACACGTAAAATCTAGTTGCTGATTAGTTCCACACCAATGGAGAGAGTAAGAAACACTGGGATGTCTGTCAATGTCTCCAATGAATGTGGCACAACCTTGGCACATCCAGGGCAAAGTTGCCAAAGTAACTTTTCCCAGATTTACCTTGGGTG